ATCAACGCTGCCAAAAAACGGCTCAGAAACTGGGCCAGATATGATCCCATCCAAAGATTCATCTCTGTGCCCACATTGCACTCAGCATGGCCATGCACTATTAAAGCATGACGAAAAGGCCTGAGAGCCTTCTAAAGGACAAATTATAACAAAGTCCAGTAAAAAGCTGAGGGGGCCTGATTCTGCAGATTTTCTCTGTATAAATCTTTTGAGGATAAAGAGGCTGGCAAACATCCCAGAGCCCATGTCATGATGTTTTATTGGACTGTTTACTCCCCAAGTCAACAGAGAGGTCATATTTTACTGTGAGGTGCAGACAAGACAAGTGCCCAGAGATCAACTTTAACCATTAGGTTAATTGGAATTACTGTTTAAGATGGTGACAGATGTACAATATCTGAGAGATTATTCACTGGGACGGACTGTCGGCAAGGTCAATTTACAGTTTTCGAAGAAAAGTATTTGAGTTTATTGGATTTAGCAATAATCTCATTTGAAGGAATAGTTCAACTGCTTGGCTTATTAGATTTCTTGCCAAGAATAAGATGAGAAGATCGATACAACTGTACAGTGGGTACGAAGTTGCAGTCCGAAGATGGTTAGCTTAGCTTAGCATAAAAACTGGAAAGCCTAGCTTGTCTGTGAGGCAACAATATACACCAACGAGCATCTTTTAAAGTTTAATAATAGCTCAGCCTGTTTCCAGTCTTTTGCTAAGCTAAGCAAGACGTGAGCGTGGTATCAATCTTCCCATTTTACCCTCGGCAAAAGAGCGTCTACATTTTAACATTTAACTATTTATTTCATGTCTTATCTCCCAACATTCACACTAGGGTTGATGTCATATACCTGTATTGATGATAATCGTTATATTTAAAAATAATAATAATAACAATAATGATCAGCGGGGACATAGTTATAGAGAGAAGATAAATGGTTTTCCTTATAGCCACACAACATATATTTACCTCCAGATAAGCTAACCCAGGCCTAATTATTTACATTTAAGGTTTACCCCTGATGTGAAGTAAACAAGTTCCAGAGCATTGTGTGTGAACAATCTAGAGAAGTGAATGAATCTGGAGGAGGATTGCACAAGCACAATGGGATTGACATAAGGAGATAATTTCACTCAAATTGTTTCCATGTCCGCTGCAGTCGGAAAGAAGTTGGATGTTGTATCGTGCAGAAATAATTATGATTCCGAGGAATTGTTAATGTGTCATTAATACTGACACAACTCTACTGTGTTTACAAAAAATGTGATTTAAAGAGCAACACGCCTGTGCTGAATGTTGATGGCAGTCACCAAAATAATCATTATTTAAGAGAAAGAAATAGTCCCTCTGGTTAGCTAATAAGTAGTACATGTGGGCTAGCATGCACACTAAATATATTAAACATGACAGACAAGATCTGAGTATATGGAAGACAATGAACTCCAGTTGACTAAAAAAGACATTGAGATGCACTGACACGCCATTAGGTTAAACACATGTTCACCACTTCTCTCTAAGAGGAGCAGACATTTTGTCTGCACTTCATTGCTGGTGAATATCTTGCTTTGCAATTAGACCAGCACCTTCTGCAGCTACTGTGGCATGCCTGGTAGGAAGTGGTTTTACTACAGTAAACCACCAATAAAAGACCATGGGGAAACTGGCTGTATCCAAAAGGCCTTTTCCCCCTTCTACATAGTGTGTGGTTCTCCTGTATCTCTTGTTTCTGGTTTCTTTCCAAGCTGTAAAAATGTGTTTATAACAAAAAAAAAAAGACATAATAAAACCAGCATGGCTGTTTGTTTGATCACAGCGGATTCAAGCTGTGCGATTGACTTTGTATTCGGCTTTTGAGAAGCTCAGTTAAGTGTAATTTAGATGAATTTTATAATTTGCCAGCAAAAAGTTTATTCCAGCTGTTTTCATTGTTAGTGATCAGCTTTGAGTCAACGTTTTCCCAGTTAAAACACTCATGTGGGTTGAAAAAGTGCATGTAGGGAATCAGACTGTTGTTTCAACACTGCTCAGCTATGTTTCACTTACTCTTAGTGAGGGTGTCGTTGATGCGGAAGCTGCACAGGACCTTATCGACGCTGCGGGCGTGGAGGAATCCATTTCCTCTCACCACCACTTGGAAGGACTCTGAGCGAGGAGAGGAGAAACACAAATGACACCCCAAGAATTGAAACACTATCAGCAATCCCAATACTATTAACAAAAGACAGTTCATCAGTTCAAGATATTTCCAACCAGACGCTCCAGTACCAATGCTGGCCACTTTCAGTGTCTCTTAGCGCAACAGCTATAGGCCTAATTGTCCTTCAATCAGGTCTTCAGACACAATTAAAATTTTTTTTTAAAGAACTGCACTCTCAAATTCTCAGTGGTAAAAAACTCCACATCCCGGCTGCTTTAACTGAGAAGCAGTTTTGCACAAATATTGTTGACCGGAATTCAACATTTAATCATCCCCAATTGTTAAAATACTGTAGCTGCAGCCTATGTCGACATAGTCATGTTCTGTTTTGAGCCCTATTTAACATTATTTAACATTGTTTTAATCACTTTGAATCTTCATGACTTTTCCTAATTTTATGAGGAGTTGCTGAAACAAAAAAAATGACTCATTACTTCTGTTTTGGGTCTCAGAGATCCAGCCAACACATGGTTGTATGGATTTTCATCTGCTCTATATCTGTTGACATTAGTTGTTATCCTCCAGTGAGGGTTAACTAAGATGTGGTGCTGTCTGATTTCATTCATTAAGAGGCCTAGGATGAAAGGGAAGTCCATCTTCCTCGTCTTACCTCCTGCACAGATACTAGAGGGCTCTGCCGCCAGGATCTCGATACAGGACTTCTTCAGGATCTGAGGAAATGAGGAGAAACACTTTTCAGCAGCCAGGCAGCAAATCTCAGATAATGGAGCATTTATAAAGGTGCAAGACACGTGATTGGGAGTATTTCAATATCCTCTTAACGGCTCTCAACATGGCAAATTACGGCAAACGTGCTGACAAAGCCAACAGCTCAGTCCCGGGTATGTCAACAAAGCAAGGAGAAGCTCGGATAACAACACGCACAGAGGGAGAGTTACTTCATTAGCTGTTCAGGTAAACTATACTATATGTTAACCTAGCAGTTCTTTGCTGCTGTAACAATGCTCTGAATGCTGTATATTGCTCATTAAACGCCACGACAATCTGTTTTGGACTATCTACTCAGTCACAGCAGTGACTTTTATGTGCCTATTAGTTAAGCTTATGTCGCTGGGGTCTCTGGCCATGATGTTTCCATCTACTCTTGTTTTTGTTGTGCAAAATGTATTTGTACTCGCTGCTCTCCAGGAACATACCAACTATAATCCTGGAGATGAAGAACACTGATTGATGACCCTCTGCTCTGCTCACATAATCACCTGACGATCCTCAGCAACAGCTTTGAGTTTGCTATTAATCTGCTCCAGATGACAGTTGCCTGGCCTTTAACTCTGCCCAACAAACCTTGTTTCCCAGTGGCAACAGCCTTACGCGTCAAACTGCTTTTGGCTTCTAGAGCTAGCAAATACAAAAATTTAAGTCAACACCAAAGAGGTGGGTCTTAAGAGAAGACCCACCTCTTTGGCCAGACGTCAGTCGTCATGAACAAAGACAGGAATGTCCCTCCATGGACTTATCCTGCTAAAGTCTGTTTTTGTCTTGTTTCCTGTTTGCTCTTTGAGCAATGTGTTGATAGATTGAAGACAAAGTGATGGGAGAGATTATGAAGTACATTAAAGCAAGATGATTTCCTTTGGACTACGAACATTACGTGTCAACCGCCTAGTTGGCAAGTGCTGTTAAAACAAGTTTGTGGGCCGACCTGAAGTACTCACCGAGTCGATGACCCCTTGCAAGGCCTCAAATCCATCGTTTACTGGGAAGACATGGTCCTTACTATCAGCTATATTTGCCAGCTGGAGAGGAGACAAGTTATTACAATCAAAAGCGACAACTGCACACTTAGTCGTTCAAGACACATGATTCGTTAAGTTTACAGCATAACTGATTACAGGAGTAGCTCATATGAACACGGTCAACAATATCACCTAATTTCCTGTTTTCAGAGGGCAAATTAAACAATTTTCACTCTACATAATGGAGAAATAAATCTTCTTGACTCACACTGTGCTCATTAGGCTATAAAATATGTGAATCATTTGATGTACGTCCAATGTCCTTGTTAGAACTAAATATTTACTGCATTTACTGACTAAGACAAACAAAAGAACAACCTGTGTCTCATTGAAGTCCTTCACCCCCACACAGTAAACAGAGGCACCCAGACTTCTGGAGCGGTTGGCCTGTCAAGTGTGCACAGATTCACAGCAAAAACAGGAAGAAGCTCAGCAACTGGGTTTAATTACACCTCTGCATTGCATAACATCATCCAAAACAAAGTAAGAAAAAGGATTGTGTTTTTCGAGGTTTTACTACAAGTTGAGCAACACCGTGTTCCCAATGAATAATATTATTCAGACGTCATATATTAATAGAAATGTCACACAGATGCCTGATTGCCAAACAGAACACATGAGCCAAATACTTTACAAGTGTTGATGTCTGTGGCTTTTGGTGCTGACTCTGAATGACCGTCAAGTGGATCATTTCCAGCTACTGGAATTGTAAACCTCCCTCCATCCCTGCTGTCAACATGTCTGAGGGCACTCAAAGCTGATTTAATCCATAGGCCTTCACACACCTTTACCTGTTGTATGTGAATGGTATGAGGAGCCAATAAATCATTAGATAGACGGTGCAGCTGTGAGGAGAACGACTGGGCTCAGACGTAAGTCTTAGACTTATACGTCCAGACTAAAGTAGGAAGATCAAAGTGGTGATGTATAGGGTGTCAGTGTTTGATCTGATCCAACACATTCTCAGTCACTGTTACACCTGGTTATGATTTGTGAGACCCATTTAATCTCTCGTTATCTCTCTCACCTCTCTCTCAGCGTAGTAGAAAAGATCCTCGTGCAGCTCACCATCCGTCAGAGCTATGATAACACTGGCGGTGCGATAACCTGCAGACAGAAATAATTAGTTCACCCCTGCTGCAATTTCACATCCTTATCTTATCCTCTGTTGCAAATAACCGCATGCAGAGTTATTAAGATTACTGCCATATTGTAGGAATGCAAAATCTAATCTCTTTACTGATAGCATCCAAATCAATTATGAGTTAAATCCCTCTTACTGAGAAATGAACACATTCCTTCACAAAAGTAATTCCAAGTGAAGAAGCAAATCCAAACACGTTTTGGGATGCTTTGAAATGATAGAAAGTCAAGTCAAAATCCTTCATTAGTTTGGAAGCCTGAAGCCATACATTTTTTTTTTTTTAAATGGAAAGACAAAAACGTTTCACTCAATGCAGCAGAACATTTTTATTGTTCTTTGTATTTATAATCATCTCACGACCCCTCAGATGTCTCTTGCGACCCTCTTGGGTGGCCTCCTGACTTAGTATAACCATATTATAATATTATATCATAAAATAAATACCCACTGAAATAGACAATTGATTGCTCATTCATTTATCATACCATCAAAAAGTCCTGTTTTATCCTAATTTACTTAAAACAGTTAAGCCTGTCTAAGTAAAGAAAAGTCATACACACCTTCAGTGTTTCCATAGTATATCTGCTCACTGGCCTGTGAAAAAAGAAAAGCTGGTTTGAAACAGTAGACTATTTATCTGGTAGCATGCAGTACATAAGAAACTCCTCCTTGAGCTAACCCAACGCAGCTCTCTGCACTGTGTGATGTTTGCTCTGGAGCCAGTGCAGAGATAAAGATGCCAGTTTGGAGTTGGACATGCAGAGGCCTCTCACCCTCAGGATGCCCTCATGCATGAAGGTGTCCCCCCCTGGAAGAACCCTGTAGAGCTCCTCCAGACCTTTACGAATGCGTTCCCTGAGCAGATAAATCAGAAGAGGACGAAGCATTGTTGATAATCTAATCTCACTGAAAATATGTATTTTTGTCAGATTAATTTGTGAACATATTCTTTTGAATTAAATCAGACGCTTCAAGGCATGGGTAACAGAGTAATAGTTTCCATAAGGGCAGCATTTGCGTAGTATACCAGCAATGTGTAACCAATGAATGAATTGAAACAGTGTTGGTTTGTATTGGCTCGAGATAGACATGCGCATAGACAGGAAATTAGCCCTGTGAAGAATAAGAGACGATAAGAGGGAAGCAGCGAAACAGTGAAAATATTTTGTGACAGTGCTGTGAAAAGATGAGATATATATACTGCCCACGATGTGTCGAAAACCACATGATGAAGTAGCTGTCCAGACTGACACTACACACAGATCACAGTGAAGGAAAGTATCTGTCTGGAATCTTCTTGGTCTTAAAGTTATGAGCGATCATAACTCTGCTGCCTGTGTCCAAATCTGGCATTTCAATGTTTCCTCTGAGCTGCATGATGAAAACAGCAAAGGATTAAAAGTGGTTTTGAGGGGATCTGCACCCACCTGTCTTCTGTCAGGCTCATTAAGATCCTTCCCTCGGTGGAGAACACAATGAAGGACATCCGCAGCTGTGGACTGGAAGAAGGAGAACAGAAAAATATACTTGGCTAGATCAGGGATCATTTCTATGTTTTCCCACACTTGACACAATTATATTGTTTTTTTTACCTTATGAATTTATGAGCTAGATGTTCAACAAAGTTGTAGATTTCTGTCCAGTGATTCTGCACACTCCCAGATCTGAGAAGAGAAAAGTGAAATTTATGTGACGATGTCTTTTTCAAGCAATGCTGGGCATTTAAGTTGCTCGACCCTTTTTTTGTACTACTGTTTGAGTGATCAAATTAACCGTAGACCCTGAACGGAGTATGAGACAATGGGCCCCTATGCACAGACATTTAAAAAGTCTGCCATGCCTCTTACATAGAGCAAGAGCCCCAGACTAAAAGAGACACAAAGTAAATAAAATGATTCATCCCTCTGAAGATTGTCTGTGTCTCTGTGTAGACATGGGTGTCTCTGTCGTCGTTTTGTGTCTCCTTGTAGTACTTTTGCATCTCTTTATGGCATTTTGCCATCTCTTTGTAGTAATTTTGTTTCTTCTTGTGATCATCTGTGTCTTTTTGTTGTAGTTTTGTGTCTGTTTGTAGTTATTTTGTGTCCCCATGTAGAAGACTTGTAGTCATATTGTATCTCTTTGCAGTAGTTTTGTGTCTCTGCGGTCCTTTTGTGTTGCTTTACAATCGTTTTGTGTTTCTTTGTAATTGTTCTGTGTCTCTTTGCAGTTTTGCATCTCTTTGTAGTAGTTTTGATTTTTAAGTAGTGGTTTTGCATCTCTTTTGCAGTCATCACCCCGTGACCCCTTGGGCCCCTGGGCCTGTGCCCGGTAGGTCGGTAATCCATCTGTGGTGTAGACTTCTAAAGGGAAAATGAGAATAGAAAGCATGACTAAATGCTCTGGGCAGCACCGCTGGTTTACTCTGAGGAGTAGCAATGATGCCGTGCTCCTCAGATTACTGTTAACATCTTTATAATGCACCTGCAATTATATCAGTGTTATTGGAGTCAGATGAAAGTATCCTCATTAAGCCTTCATGCAACCGGCTCTGTGATCACAACCAGGTCGGTGTGGATGTTAATCGTCTTGCACTCTATTCCCTCTTTACTAATGAACTTCAAACTGACCTGGTGCTATTCACATTTTCAGACAATGTTTTTATTGGCTTGTATAGCAACGGCCACAAAGTCTTCTGTTGGGAACAAAAGATAAAGGGATCAACGAATCAGGTGGAGAGAAGCTTCTCAGTATTGTTATCATCTAATTTAATTATCTGGAGATATCAGTGTACAGTTGTATCTGTTAAACAAATAACAGCTTGTGAGCTTGCATGTTACAGTGTTGATGCTTAACAGAATGTCTTTCATTTAAACTGTGTTTTTTTAACCTCACACCCACATGCAACATTTCTCAAAACACCTATGTTTCCATTGTCACCATGACACAAGTCTCCGCACAAACAGCCCAGCCAACAGGCCAAAATATTGGAACATCTGGATGTGATGGAGAAAGAGCAGTGCAGAGACGAAGAGGAGAGAAGAGAAGAGGGCAGATATAGCAAGAGGACAGCGAGGGCAGGTAGAGGACATCAGTGCTAAAAGGTCAATTACTCTCTATTGCACTCAATTGACTAATTTCCCCCCAGAGACACAGCAGGACCTGGAAGTGACACTAACATGTAATGTAGGACAACTGGAGGGAGAGCTACAGCGAGAGGGAGATGGCAGACTGCAATCCTCCAGTCCCATCATCCAGATAAGAAATAGGATCAGTTGGATGATACATTTTTGGTTGACCTAGTTAGCAAACATTTTGGCTTGTGGTACAAAAAAGAAATGTAATAAAAATAAGTAGTTTGAAGCCAGGTTTGCAAAATACAAAGGTCAAAAGCATTGCGTTACGGTCCAAAAGCAACATCTTGGGTAAGTTAACGGTCAGTGCCAGTGGAGCTGTGTGCATATTTATCTACTGAATTAAGTGCTTTCTCTTCGAGTCCCAGTCAGGAATACTTGGGTAAACACTGTTCATTTACAACATTGACCCCTTTTGAAAACATTTACTGTTTTCACTTGAATGGCTTCGTTGATGAGATTGCTCAATAATTTAAGTTTTACCCACAAATGCATGGGTATACCGCTCAGCTGCGAAATTAAAGGAAGCATGATCTCATCAAGATGTTAAACGCTCAGTGTGGTAGTTTTGATCAGGTGTTTATGATGCATGGCTGAAAGGAAACACAGAGATCCCCATAAATAGGTGAGATAAACATGGAAACTATTTCTAAATCAAGACCAACTTTGCAGGGAGGCCAAACATCCTGTACATGAGATACACAGACTATGTTAGAACTCCAAGAAGATGAGGAGATATAACGATGCACTTACTGGCAAGCCAGTCTGGATAAAAACTGCCCACGTGGTATATGTTATGTTAGTGAGGATGAACAAAAAACAAGCACAGTGCTTGCAGTCTGTGCAGCCTGCAACTGACTGATGAATGGGGGAAACATCTATCTAACACACCACTTACTATCTGTAGATACATGCCAAGCTAAACTGCAGATCGAAGCCTGTCAGAGCAACGCATCATCAATCAATCCATCCATGTCTTCTGCATGACAGGACACCAGAGGGCTTAACGACAACAGCAATGTTGATGACATCATGAAAACATTTTGGCAGACCAGATGGAGAAGCACAGGAACAAAATAAAATAATGCACATGTACTTTATGCATTATTATGCTTCCATGAGGTGTGTTCAATTCAAGTTTTTTTTTATCATTAAAAAAATAAGAAATTGCTCTTATTCAACCCACTATATCAACTAATGTTCCTCATATACTTTAACATGAATGGCCTTCACTTGTTAACAGAAACCATCCTATTCATCCATCCCCTCTTTTGTGACTCAGGTTATGTTAGATAACTCACTTGTCCAAAACAAAGTAGAGATCAAAGCCTCCGAAGCATGATGACGATCCAGCCGGCCTCCTGTCCTGTTTTGGTCCAGCATTAGCAGCAGTAAGAGCAACCAGCACAGCGCCAAACACCACTGGAAACCAGATGCTTCTACTCCAGCACAAAGTCATTATTCAAGCTGAAGAAAATTGCAGAACGTCCATCAAGAAAAAGTTGCAAAGTTAATCCTCCGAGCAGATTCTTATTTCAATCCTCCACATGATTGTTACCATATAAAAAAAACAATAATCCAAAGGAGAGCAGTGAGTGTAGTTTATAGAGGTTGAAGTGGAGGGGAGAGAGAAAGCATGAGTGCTGTGGGTCTCACTGTTGTTGGGACCCTCTCATCACTGAATCCGGCACGGCATGCACAAAGATGAGAAGAGCTCCACAACCTTCCACTCTCGCTGCTTTCCGTTAATGACAAGACCATACAACAGAAAGATCCTCAGACCCTGAATCTCTAACTCTGAGAGTCTCTGCAAAACTCTCTTTGTATTTTCAAGTCTCTCTCTCTCTCTCTCTCTCTCTCTCTCTCTCTCTCCCCCCCTCTCTCTGTGTAGAGGAATAATGGGATGAAGAAAATTCATTGAATACATCAGAATCTGCTGGCTCGTCCTGCCACCTGGTGGCTGCTTTTCAACCACTAGATACATATACACTTGGTGAACCAGAATACCGTGAAACTACAATACATTAAATACTACCTTTGTGAAGCCCAAAATGTTTTAGAGAAACTGTGTCAAAGAGGTGTTGACTCATCTCTTGATGTGGTGTTGTGATGGATTGCATTATAATTATATTGATACTTCTGAAGTTTTCATCTTCCCTATTTACAGACATGGGGAACAGAATATAGGAAACACAGACACTCGATGACCTGTATCTGTTTTGTTTCTTTATGTGATTCATTATATCACCAGATTCAGATTCAGAAGTTGTCTTTCTTCTCTAAACATGTGAAGTTATGCAAGAAACAAGTACTGGTGAATAACAAATATGGCTTTCTCTACCTACTAGTGTATCTAAATGTAGCACTTGATATTTGGTGACATTGATATACTTGCATGATTCTTGCACTTTTTGGAGTTGGCATGGTTGAATGCATTTATTATACAGGGTTTTGGATAAAAATGTTGGCTAAATAGATTAAATGTAAAAGTCATGTCTTTCTTCCTATACATCACTGATTTGTGTACATTCACTGCAGGTTCAGTCAACACAGCCACGTGTGAAGATCCTACAGGGTGCTCTTATCCAGCGAGTCCTAACAATGAGTCATACATGTAAAAATGTTACATATATGAAAAGAAGGTATAAATGAATGAGTTCAGTCTCAATGAGAAGCCACCACTTCTCTACCCCAACATAAACCGGATGTAGTACAGATGATCTGTCCTTCTTGTGCACTATGTATTCACAAGCCTCCGGATCAAACACTTTCAGGCAGTAATCAAGGCAACGAGTGGGGCTTGAATTCCTGATAATACACACTAAACAGTAATGTGTAGATACCATAGTAATTTACGATTTTTCAAACTATTTTAAAATTGTAATTTTGTGTTCTCCCCCAACATGCTACGTCTCATGCACATGACTTACAGTCATAATGCATCCGGTGTGAATTTTTTTATATTTTTATATTTACCCATGTAAATATACCACAAATATACTCAATATCTGTGTGTTTTTTTCTTTCTATCTTCCTCCAGAAGGCGTTTCTGTTCAATTAAACAGGCTCTTCGACAAATGGGACATTTTTCGGACTATTGAGGTTTCAGATTAATTGGTGTTTGGACCAATGGCACCGGCGAAGGTACTGATCTCAGGGAACATAGACACACTCTTATCCATGCCATATAATGAGTTAAAACTAATTATTAGAACTTTTGTTCACTAGCAAACCTTGGATTTTATAACAATTATCTTCACTTCCACGACTTACATTACTTTATCCCATCAACACACAAAAACAGCTACTAACATACAACAACATACAAACATGTGTTACCAGAATTTAAAACTCACCATACAGTCAGTTTGAATTGTGTTTAGGTAAGAAGTTAAAACATAGGGAACTGTGCTTTTAATGAAGGGCTCAGTCTTTTTATCAGTGGCCAAATCCCAATGTCCCCCCTAAACCCTCAAACCCTGAACCCTCACGGACTTCACGGAAGCGCGCCTCAAAGTCCGTGAGTCCGTAAGGGGGGACATTGGGATTTGGCCGGTGTGTCTGCAGGGACCTTTGGCATTAAATAAGGCGAAAAGGTGATCATTTTACTGGAAGAGGTCACTACTGTTTTTATTTGCTTAATACAAACTTGTTTGAGGAAAGTTAGTTCCTCTGCTTTTACATGACTTTGAAAATGTCAAATTATTTTGGTGCCACTCGACATTCTGGCAAACACATGACCTTTAGTGACATTTCATACTCCGTCTGACTTTCCTTTCCTATTCTTTTTGAAATAAAGTTAATTTAGTGTTTGCTTTTTTACTATACATTTTGAAACATCTGCTAAATTCTTATCAGCTCTGGACTTTCACTGCTGTTAACCAGCACATCTTTAAACAAACTGTAACTGGAAACACATAGGTTCCCCACACGTTTAATTGTAAAAACGTAGGTGATCCCCTAACTTTTCATCAAGCTATCAGGTCAAATTCTCAATTTGTCCAATGCTTTTATGGAGGATGCAAATTAGCAAATGTAAGCGAGCTAGCATGCTGAACTATGGTGAGCATAGTTCATACTGCTAAACATCAGTATGTTTGTACTTTAATTATCAGAATTTTGCCATGCACTACAGCATTAAGCCAAAAGCAAGCACACTGTGCCTAAGTACTGCCTCACAGTGCCGCTAGTGTGGAGCTGCATAGATTTACATGCTGACTTCTTTTTTTTCAGTGTGACACCATGAAACTTTTTTGATGACATTCTAGCTTGTGTTCGATGTTGAACACTTTTACACCGCTACATTTAGTCTGTCTGATCTGCATCATCTTGATTTTTTTCAAACTTTCCCCACAAAACCAGTGAGCTATGTTCGTGACTTGTGTAACAACGACAACATGACTATAGTATTAAGCTAAATTAAGTTCTCTATATAAACTGAATATCTGGCTTAATTAGTGTGCAAACACAAATATAGGACAGATTCTAATCAAGTTAGGGGGTACTCCCAAATGTTATAAAGATGGGGGAATCAGAAGAGACAAACTTAAAACATAATGGACAAAATCGAAGCAGCAAAGGCCTGGATATTTTGACTTTGGGTCTTGAGTATGAGTCAAGCGCAAAACACTGGATCCTACGTTGTTTAAAATCAGTCAATAATGTAGAAATGTGTGATTTATTTATTCATTTGAAATTTTATATTCAGCAGTATTTTATTTTCAATTTCTGGCAGCTGTGCTTCCTGCTTGGTCGTGTGTTTCAACACACAAAACAAGTTTCCTGGTGAGAAGCCAGTGAGGGATCACATCTGCATGCTGTACTTCAGACCTTCAGACCACTCCATCACTTCCCTACTGCTCCAAGAATTGGACAGAGTATGTTTGGGTTGCCTTTCCTGTGCACTACGAATTGACAAGCCTGCGGGTCAAAAACTGACACACAGTTGTCAGCAAATCTCGTCGGGGTTGAATACCTGCAAATACACAGCAAACAGTAGAATATGTAAGTCTAGTTTCGATTGAATTTGTACCCCTTTAATACCTTAATTGTTGAGCTCTGTGTACTCACCCAGTGCAACACCCATTGCAGGTACAGTCCATACATTTACTGTTTCTCCAAGAAGATCCTGTGGCATGCCATGTATTATCCTCATTGTCCTGACAATGGGTCATGCCTATGGGTGCAAGAAAAGAGTGGTAAATATCTTTCAAAACATATGTATATGTATTTACCACAAATATACTGTAGGTGTTTTTCTTTCCTTTTACCTGGTGTCACGGGTTTTTGGTAGCATTGACCTATTGACAGTGACACCAGAGCACTTAGCAACAAAGCCAGAGCCAAATATTTCTTCATGGAAAAATTGGAAACAAACATCACAGTTTTAACACTTGATCTCAACATTCCAGTCAGACATGTATAGAGTGGTGCAGGAATGAACACTAAAACCTGCACTTCAGGTTGTCTCATCTAGAAGTCAATGGGCTTTTTGTTTTGGTCTGCGGTTAACACAAGCTTAAGCAATTACATTTTTTTGTTCTACGATATCAAAATACATCAGTAAATATCCCTCTCGTGAATTTTTAAGCTTTTACATGTCTTTAAAAAACAGTTGCTAATATGTGGCTAAATGAGACTACAAATGTCATCAAACGACTAGTCCCTCTCGACAGCCTTGCTGTGTTTATACTCGTGCTCATTTGTCCGTGGTGTAGTTTGTTCAAAAGCCGATAGCTTTTTACTTCTGGCAATTGCATTCACGCTTCAAAAATCATAAAAGTGGTGTTCATTTGTGAAAATTATCTTGGTGAACAAAATGTAAAAGTATCATAAGCTTGTGTTTGCCCATAAACGTGCCCATGAAAAAAAAGAGCAACGCTGGTGAAACAATGTATCTTTATACATCCATGATCATAAATATCTCTAAAACACAAACGAATCATGTTGTAAAGTCTTGCCATTTTGACAATGTCATATAATGAGTCAAAACTCATTCTTAGACACTTTATTCACTAACAAACCTCACATTTAACAACTCTCTTCCCCTCCATGATTTACATTACTTTATCTCTTCAAACACAGAAATAGCTGCAACAAACAATTTCACAATTTAATAATTTTAAACTCACCATCGTGGCAGTTAAATGTGTCTGGCTTGTAGTGTGTGAAGAGATTAAGATGTAGGCAACTGCACTTTGAATGAAGGGCTCCGTCTTTTAAACAGTGTGTCTGCAGGGACCTTTGGAAGTAAATAAGGGGCATGGGAGGAAGGGGCTGTTTACTGAAAGACGTCACTACAGTTTAACACAACAAATAAGAGTACTAGAACAATGTAAAAGTCTTTTTTTTTCTCAGGTTGATTTTAAGATTTGACACACATACACATAGTTTGGAGTCTAGTCATGTATTACTCCTATTAGTTATTATTAATAGTTATTTTGACATTATTGTTATTATTATTAATGATTTCATTGTCATTATCATTGTATCCACTGCTGCTGTTATTATTAGAAGTAATCATTTCTCCTCGGCTCCAAGGACAGAGGATATTGTATGTTGTACAGATTGTAAAGCCCCCTGAGGCCCATTTGTGATCTGAGATTATAAATGAAATTTAACAGAATGTCTATCTTTACATGACTTTGTGGAGTGAATATTTTTGCATTTTCAAAATAATAACTGGGGCTAGATTTTAACTAACTACCTCAATTATCACCAATTACTTAAGTAAAGTAGAAAAGTGCATTTAAATCATGCATTAAAACAGCAACCCGATTATTCACAGGCATTCTTTTCAGTGTTAGGTAATTAACATCGAGTATTTTTGTAAAGGGAGTAAAGGATCCAGACTCTAATAATCCAGTCCATGTTTTGCGTAACTCTGACGCGCCACAAACGGGGTTGCCAGGTTTCTTGAAATGTGGCCCTGACCGTCCTTCTTCTTTTGTTTCCGTGGAAAGGAGGGTTGTGGTGCTTAACATGGCAACAAATCGCACAACAGATGGAAGTAAGGCTTTTGCGCACTGAGTATTTGGGGTTCATAATAACCTCTGGAATAAGCAAATTAATACGTACTTCTTTGGCTCAAAAGAAGAATTTAAACCGTCTTGACAAACATGGAATAATAGAGCGAAGAGGTGAGCAGCACGACGCAGCGATAAGCGCCATTTGGGTAGCTTTTAGCTTGCTATGCTAACGTTAGCATGCCAGGCCAGCCCATAGTCGTCAGTCCTTTTACACAGAGTTCAAGATAAATATTGAATATCGATCAACAGCCACGTAAAGGTGTACATCATCAAGACACTTGACGGGTTTATAAGTTATATTCAACCCTGAACCGGTCATATATAACATCGTTATTGTTGTTATTATTGTAGTGAGGGGTGGTGCTCATCGTGGACAAAGCGGAAGCATGTTTGAACGTCACATCATGCTATCAGGGTTTAAGTTAGTTAATCTTACGGTTGTTTCCTCGAGTATTCGTTTAGTCTACAGCGTTAAATGATCAATGGTAACGTCAGCAATTGTCTTCTTTCATGTCAAAACCTAAATATAAGCAGAATACAACAGTAGTAACGTAGGAATCCAGCTTTTATACTAATACTTGAACAGAGTTTTTTTGGGATATTCTTTAAACAAGTTATGTAAACAACTAATCAATTATAAATTGCTGCCTCAGCACTTTTCGGCACTAGATTATGTTCAGCATCACTATTGCTACTTTGTAGAACCGATCCCGTCATGTTGTTTAGTCGTGGAAAGGCAGTAAAAGGAATAGTTTTCTCAGCCTATTTTAAATAATACTCTCTGGCTCCTCTTTTCCAGTTTAGTCTGAATCCACGCAAGTTGTTGAGCTCTTCCCGGGGCCCTCCGGGGCCCAGGAAGACGATGCATCGCGGTGGGGATAAGGACTTCCAGATATCGGCACGAAAGATGGGCACATCCTTGCTTTTCCAGCTGTCGGCTCATGAGAGAGAGTTGGATTTGGTGTTTTTGGACCACAGCTATGCCAAACCGTGGAATGCCCACCCAGATGCCAGCAGTGCCCGGCCCACAAGGACGCTGTTTGTTACCCCTCGTCGCCAGCCTGAAGCCTTGTCGTAAGTTAAAAAGCTCCTATCCATAATTTCTATCTGAAATGAAGTGATCAGTTTGATCACTTAGCTATTTTCTGCGTTGCAGTAACGTGATATCTTCTTTTCTTTGTCTGCAGAGACTCTGATTCTCTATTAGATGTGGAGACCGCCACACCGACACCGGCTCCTCTCTACGATAATCAGAAAGCTCTCAGTGTGATGAAGGAGTGTGAGCGGCACGTTCTGTTTGCTCGCACGGTTGCTGAGAGCCCTCCACCGCCCGATGACTGGGAGGAACATGTAAACAAGTAATCAAACATCTGGAGCCACCCACTGTTCATTTATCATTCATCGAGACCATGTTGAAAGTATAGAAGTTCAAGTGCTTATTTTTGACTTCATCGTTGTTTGGTTTCAGGACTGGATGGTCAGTGGCCCAGAACAAACTGTTCAATAAAGTCCTTAAAGCTCTACAAGCTGAAAGACTCGCCCGCCTGGCCAATGAAAATGTAAGTTATGAAAGTTTGATCTAAATCTGTTCTCAAGAGCTTTAAATTATAGACATTGTATAAGTTCTTCAGCAACAGTGTGTTTGCTTTCCCACTTGTTTGATAACAAAGGCACTGTTAATTGAAATATACTGTACGCCAATGTCTGTTTGGACTTTTTAGAGTTTATATAGCTTATTCACTAGCAAGGACCACACCATCAAATAGGAGCATTTAACACATTTATTGAAGGTAAACGTGATTGAGATGTGAGGCTTGAGCTTCAGTTGTGAGAAGCGTCAATGGGGAATCCGCCGTTGCACCCGGGCACGGTGAACCTCCTCAGGACCGTACGTAAAGTAGAGGAGGAGAGAGGAGGAGAAAAAGAGGGGAGGGAGGAAGGGATACCGAATACGAGAGCGAAGCAGAAGTTAGGCGGGTATTTATGGATATGCAGGAAGTGGTAGGATTGAGGAGTGGTTCTGCTCCCGAAATTACGATAAGTATCTTCAATGGTTGCTGCTTTATTGGATCGTCTTTATAGACTTGTATGATTTTCTTCCATCATACACCCCACAAATCAATGCATCTGTATCTCGAAGGCTGTTGCAAATCAGTGTACCTGTTGGGAGTAACGTATCATTTTTACAGAGAAAAAAAACCCATACAAACCAGTGCAATATGTTTTGGATAATAAAAGCTGTGTGTGTGTGTGTGTGTGTGTGTGAGTGTGTGAGTGTGAGAGAAGCCATTTGTAAATTGCCTTTGTCTGTCTCTGGTGCGATCTTGTTTCTCTCAGGCTTCCAATGAGCCAATCTTGCGGAGAATAGCTGTGGACAAGTGTGCCAGGAAGGTGCGGCATGCATTAGCCAGTGTGAACTGGGACACCAAGCTGACGCAGTGGTTACACACGACCATGATTGAATCCTTGAGCCTCGCTATGCTCGCTGCTTACCTGGATGTGCTGCAGACTCTCAAAAGCAAGGTATGGTGTGTGTGTAACTTAATGAAGAGTAAGAACTGGTCTATATTTACTGTCGGATGTCTGCACCACTATCTGCAACATCTGGGATTTTTGATTCATTACTATTTCTCTTTGTTGTCTTGGAAGTTGCCATTGCTGATTGACAGAATGTTGCTGACAACAGCAAAGACCGGCACTCCCAGTGCAGAGGCCCTGTCACTGCTACTGAAACGGCCCTGGGACCCGGCTGTTGGAGTCCTGTCTCAAAACAAACCGGTAACACTTAACCATTGTAATAGAAAGCATTGTTACACAATTTAGTGTCTTACTTTGTTCTTCGTGGTCTGTAACAGTTAAACACCAGATCCCTGTTCTGTTCTCTTGTATGTTTCAGAGCAAGCTTCCTGGATCGCCACTCATCCTAATTGCACCATCAAGCCCGACCAATCCCGCCCTGTCTACTTCACGGCGAATGAGATTCTGGCAGTCGCAACTCTCTTGTTTGGGAAAGGTCTTTAATCTCATTTAGTTAAATCTATACATTATTAGGAATTTAGGTTTTAATAGTCTCAGTAAAGTGCCTATAATAGCTGTTTCAATGTCAGGTCATTCCGGTGCACAGTCACGTGAACAGCGGAGCAAACATTGGCATCACACAGTGCTTGGAGCACATGTTGGGCACCGTCAGAGCAAAGGTCTTGGAGGTAGGATGTTCTATTTTTATGTTCTCCTTGTGTGACTGTAGTTGCAGTGTGATGGTGGTGATGTTTGTGTACTTGATTTGTTTTCAATGTGCAGATTCGCTACGGCATTCAATGCATGAAAGACAGCACAATAATCAAAACATACTCGGTCTTTTTTTAAGTTTCTTAAACTTACTTCTTCATACATTTAACCACCAGGTTCACAGTCACTTCCCCCACAAACCCATCATCCTGGTTGGCTGGAACGCTGGTGCTCTCATCGCCTGTCACGTAAGACTTCTTATAATGTATCATTGTCATCTAATGTGAGGCGAAGTGATTCCAACCCATAAAACAAATGCAAATGATTATTATTCTGTCTTTAATGCTTCTTCAGCTAATTAAATCCTGATTCCTTACAGGTATCTCTTATGGAGTATCTGACCGCTGTCGTGTGTCTCGGCTTCCCGCTGCTAACAGTCAACGGGCCGAGAGGGGTAAGACCTTAGACTGTATCTTCCATTAATTTTCATTCATCAGTTTCTACTAAGAACAACTGACCTTTTGCTCTAAGTGAGTAGTTGTAATGAATGTTAATGTGCTACTGGTTTGCAGGATGTGGATGACCCGCTGCTGGACATGAAGACCCCCGTGTTGTTTGTGGTCGGCCAGAATGCTCTGCAGTGTAGCATCGAGGGCATGGAGGAGTTCAGAGAGAAGCTGAGGGCAGACAACAGCATGGTGGTGGTGGGAGGGTCAGACGACAACCTCAGGTCAGTCACAACCTGCCGGTTTAACGAGGAGGAAGTAAGAGGATATTATATTCTTTCTAGCGGTGGATTTTTAGTATCGGTAGAATCACAAAATGTTCTTCCTCCACAGAATCAATCCGGCAAAGATGAAGTCAGAGGGACTAACGCAGACCATGGTGGACCGCTGCGTTCAGGTCGGTCCTTGCAACTGGAAATTTGTATCGTTAGTCTGGAGAGTTTGTCAATCCTCTGCAAACAAAAAAACAAAAACCGCCTATGATGTTGATAAGAAAAGCTTTTTTTCTTCTTTCATGGCTGATCTGCAGGACGAGATAGCAGACTTCCTGTCGGGCGTCCTCACACGAGCGGAGGGCCACGGCCACGGCTCCGGGGAGATGAGGGACCTGGACACGGAGAAGAAGAAAAGGCCTCGGCGGGAGCTTCCCTTTGACATGGAGAGAGGACGACCGTCCTCCCCTGCACTCAGACTTCCCATCTCACCTTCAGGTTCAGAGGTTAGTTAACAGGTGCCGCAATTACCAACTTTTTTAAATTGAAGGAATATGTGCTATATTCTTTATTTTTCGTTTAAAATTATATATGTAACATTTTGTAGACTGCATTTTGGAGGAACTCTAATATACGTACAATGTTTGAGCTGGCTGCATTTTCAATTAAAGTTAAGTTTCTAATGAATATTAAAAGCAATAGGTTTACGTGTTCAATGCCTGACACTAATCATGACTCATCGGGTGTCCCTCCTCTTCACTGTGTCCTCAGGATCTGTCTAGCGTCTGTAGCAGTCCCACTTCAAGTCCCAAACCTAAGACGTCCGGTCTCTCTCCAGCACAGAAGTCCAGTCTGATCACAGCCACGCAGCTCCTCAAGACACACATGCAACGCTCTGGCACAGTCCTCACTCCTAAGCAGGCTCAAGGTTGGTTCCCCACCGCACTCGATTTTGGAAGTACACAGTCGCGTTCGCGTAAACATGCGTGGCAATCCTGTCTGTAGACAGCTCTCAATCTTGCGCCACTTGTTTATGTGAACTTGTTGCGATAAGTCATTTACCTCGACTTTGAGCAGACGGGGTTGTTTGTGAGATGTGAAAATGTTTGCAGATAAAAAAACATCTGATGGGGCAAGATAGAAAGTGACTGAAATACTCTCTCTTCTCGTCTCTTCTCTTCCTACAACTTTCTTTTCCAACTTTTTCTCCTTCCTTCATTCCAGCTCAGTTTGCTGCTTTTATGAAACAAAACATGCTTGTGAGGAAAAATCTTCCTCCCGGCACCCCTCCTTGTATTTTTGGTAAGTGTCTATCCCTTTTTCCTCTCTCTTTTCACTCCTTTCCTGGTTTCCATTCCCCCAATTCTATATGAATGTCACACTGAAATACTGCACTGGCTCCTCACTTAACACCCAATGTCATTCTTTGAATTCTCACATTTATTAAACTCACAATAGTACATTTTATATTGCTGAACCGTTTTTTTAAAGCAGGTTTATATAACAGACTTATTAATGGGGGGGTTAACGAAGGATAAAACAGCCCAGGTTAAAGTCCGCTCAGCAGGCTGATCAAAATCTGTGTTTGTGTTTGTTTGTGTGGTGCAGTGCCAGTGACCAGTGATCAGATGGAGGGCCTGGACAGAGATGAACTGAGGTCCCATGGCAGGAGGAGGCAGGCGCCTAGTCCCACACCAAGCAAAGTCACCAAGAGAGCCAAGATCAAGGTCACCATTGTGTCCCAGAGCGAGTCCGCGGGGGGCACCATGAGCCCTGCTGCACAGGAAGGTACAACACCTGGTGTTCTTGTCACATATAGGACTCTATAAGCATTTGTTTGATATAAACGCTCCATGATTTATTCTGTTTTTTCTAAACATCGAAAAAACCTTTCTGTTGTAGTATGATCAGAGTGAACAGACTGTTTGTTTTGTGGATTGATAAAATCAGTAGTAGACAGTTTTTAGCAGCTCACCTTCCCACAGAGTGCTAGATTGAGTGAGGAACATGTCTTTGTTTGGTGTAAAGTATGGCTTAAGTAAAAGTAGGACTTTTGAAAAACATTTATTCCTGGAAAAAGCATGGTGCTTGTATTGCGTGACTAGACAGATTTGCTTGGTAATTGTTCCGGCCTTTTCCTAAAGCAGCCCCTCTGAAGTATCTCTAACGGACCATCATGATGTGATCCCTTTTCCATGCAGTGGGTGTTTCTGGGAAGCCCTTAAGAGTGACCGTGGGACAGACTGTGGCTGGAGCCAAGGAGCTCTCTGGACTTCTCACAGGCCAGCGGTAAGCTAGCCTGCCCTGGCACACACAGGCACATTCAGTATAGAGCGCTGAAACACGTTAACATGCCCACACCCACACCCCCCTTTGGACAAAAGTTCGTCTGGTGCAGAGGGATTGATATGGGGTGTTAGCTTTGAGCTGAGCGATGGCCAATCATCACTTGCTGGGGTAGCTCCTGAGTAGATTGGTGGTTATGTGTGTCACTGCAGGTCTGGTAGTCTCTCAGAGGTATCTGGTGCCCTGTCCCCAGGCTCGAGCTCATTCAACAGCGTGCAGCCTTGCATGGTGTCAGGGTCCTCCACACCAGTCCAGGCGCAAGCTCCGGCTACTGCCCAAGGTATCTCTGTCCTGTCCTGTCCTGCCCTGCACGCCTGTTTGCACTCTCAGCTGTGCAGCTAATCTCAGCGCAGTAACCTTAACACACAGTGCAGTTCTAACCACTTTGTAGAGTGACAGTTTTGGACACTGGATGAGAACAGTGTGTGAGGACAACATATTTAGGCAAACATCATCATTGATTACCTCTTGCGCCATCGCTGTCCCGAACCTTACCCTTTGGACATGGCTTTCATATGGCCTGTTTGTGTCCGTGTGTGTCCATCTAGTTTAGGCCGATGGGGGGGGGGGAGAGATTGGGTGGGAGCAGTTTGTACAAGGAGTTATTAATATTTCACCCAAATTTCAGCTCAATTGATTCATTGTCCTTCCTTTTTCTGTGTAGCGCCTTCCGCCAGCAGTCTACTACAAGGCCTAAGTTTCAGTCTTCAGGAGATCATCACCAAAACTCCTAGCTTGCCCGCCTCAGCAGCCAATACAGGCAGCACCCAGGTACCTCCTGGTTACACTGTTACACATGTTTGAATGACCACAATGGAAGATTTGCTTGTTTTAAGTCCAGTTGCAAGGAATTATGTAAACTGTACTGACAACCAAACCATAAGTTGCATAACTTTGTTTCATTTAAGGCACGCAAAAAGAGAATAGTTGTCTTTCTTTTTCTCACTCAATTAATAGATAATAATATAGCCGAGGCATTAGGCTGGAATGATTGTTCCTTCTCCTGCCAATAAGCTCTGCCAATAACAACTGACCAATGAGGGTTTACCTCGTACAAGAGCTGTGAAAGTCCCAGTGAAACGGAGGTTAGAGCGTCTTTAGCTTCTGCACTGTGAGTATTTCACAGTGAAGCGGGATATTTGAATCGTGTCCAGTCACAGGACGGTTTTACATCTCATGAGAATGTAGTGTGATACGGAGGACTGTGGCTCCACACTCACCTCCATGCTGCTTAAAGTTACAGATTGATTGATAAATGGATATCTTGATATTATTGTTTGAAATTCGTTGGTACTAGCTTAAGTAAGCACACTTTATTTTCATTTTTGAGATTTTAGTTTAGGGTTTTGTTGAATTGTGTTGTTATACTGAGTGGTTTCAAATATCTTGTCCTCTATATCAATATTTAGTTACTAAATAGAAGAAACACAACTTGGGTTTTTCTTAGTGTACCTAATAAAATGGCAACTGAATGTAAATTGTACATACAACAGGAAGAGACTCTTACAAGAGTTTACTAAAAGATGAAGTTCATCTAAAGTCTGTTGTTATTGTACAAGACAAGACCGTAAACTATTTGTTTGTCTTCTTCTTCTTCTCCTCCACCTTCAGGCGGTCTGTGGCAAGCCCCAGGGTCAGGTCCTGAGCTCCGTCTGTACCAGCAGCAGCAGCACTCTGCTCCGGGCGTTGCCTGTGGTCACCACAGGAGGAGTGGCTAAAACCACCGCCATCCACCAGCTGCTCACTAATGGCGGGCTGGCCAAGCTTGCCAGCAGCCTGCCCGGCTTGGCGCACATCACCAATCAGACCGCTGGTATGTCTCGAACTGCCAAAACACGACGGCCACGTTGAATGCTCAGAGTTCATTCATCCTTTTTGTTTTGGAAACACTAGTTCAGGACGTCTGTAGGCCAGGGAGGATTGCTGCAGTAGACCACCGTAGAGGACAGCTCTGTCGACGTGTGTGTGCGTGCGTGTGTGTGTAGATGGTTTGCCTGGAAGAACCGGACTGTTATCAGGTGTGCAGAGTCAGGTGGGCGGATGTACAGCATCAGAGGGCAGATCAGTGCCGTGCGATATGTTTTGTTTTCATGTTCAGAAAGAGCCATATGGGAAATGTAGGGTCTCAAGTTTGAGTTCCCAGCTTATGTTTGACACATAATGTTTAAGTAGAAGTGGATGCAAATGTCAAATAAAGATAAATGTATGAAACCATTTGATACAGAAGAATTGTGAATTAAGTTAAAACCAGTATGAGTATGGTTGACCAACTTTAATATGCCGAAAAGTTCAATCCAGACTGCTTTGTATGTCAGATTTTGTTTCTCACTTCATGTTTGTGTTTGCCTCATGTAGTGACATTTTGTAAACCCTTCCATCAAATCACCTGCTTATAATATCCATATGTTTGAATGCTAACCTCTTACAGACATGTGTTGGGAAGCAATAACATTAGCACATGGCATTACCCGAGAGTTTTCCTGTTGTTACAATAAAGACTGGAATCAAATCATGTTTTCATTGCTCCTGTTTGCTGTTTTTTTCTTTTAGTGTGAATCAGTTATACTCTACTGTACTGCACCCCTCTCGCCTAACTAAATCTCCAAAATTGTTTTTACCTTTTTACCTCTCATTGTGTTCATTGTCCAACAACCTGCTATTGTTTTAATTTGCTGACCACAAAGCAAAAAGGTGCTTCTGATGACTTCCATCACAACATGTTTCACAACTTTTGGTGGCAAAGTCAAAGGTCTCGTTTGAGCATCTGATGGCCCCGACACAGCCTTGTGTTACTTGAAGCTCTTTATTTGATTACTAGTTATTGCTATTGTGATGGCACGTGTTAATTACTGCAATATCGGCCTTTTTGTTTTTGCTTTCACACTGCCCACGTTGTTATCGACACAACCCACGGTAATTCATCTTTTTGGCTAACTTATGAATATCTTCACTGCCATGGCAACCACAATGCAATGAAATAATTTTTCCAGACACAATCATTTATCTTGTGTGTGTGGCGATATAGTAAGTAATGAAAAATGAATGACCTGCCCTAAGTAGTAATCCTTTACCCAACTTATTGTGGTGTTTTTTTTTAGCTTAATGTGCATTTTAAGTTGCACGCATACAGATGTTTTTACGTCGGCACACTGATGTGGTCGTAATAGGAAGTTACATAAAAACTGCCATGACAGCAGCTATCTTAATCGGTCTAAATATGAGGCTGTGTATGAAAGTGTGCTGCATTCTCATTACTGAAGATACTGTGTGCACACTAAAGTTATCAAAGATGTCTTTGTCCTTAAGATTTTAATACCAGCAGGCTTACTTTTATATTGGAGTGTGAGTTTATGAATTCCACTTTTCCCTTTTACAGCAGTGAAAGGTGTCCATGATGACACACCCGATGTAAGCCGATGCTGTGCCAGAGGCATTTGGGAGCCGCAGCCTGCTGATGAGACTGCCCCCTCCCTGCAATGATATACACACCACCCAACAACATGCAGAACACCTGCTTCACATCCTCCAGAGAGCTCCCCAGTGGAGATGGTTGGAAAAGGCCAGGCAGTCACTGTCGGCTGTGGCTGCGTTGCTTAACCTCCGCGCACAGATGGTTAACGCTTTACTAACACTGCAATGGTGGTCTTCATGCTATGGTCTGTGCTCTCTTCTTACACCTTTAACATCCTGACGGCCAGTGAAAAAACACATGATCACATGTTATCCTCAAGGAGGAAATTATTTGTATCACGTGAGGATAAACTGCAACCTACCTGGACTGTGATAATATTGCTGTACGGCCTACAAAAGGACAGCCAGGATGTTAATTATATAACTCAACTAAAAGTAACCATTAAAAAAAAACGTATTTCTTAGGTTGTATTAGGTCCAAGCACTTTTGTCATAAATTGATTTGCATCTTATTTATCATCGGTCTAGACAAGTCAGTTGTGTGTGAAGCATTTTGACAACATGTCACAACTTGATATTTGTGAATATCTCCATATTTGTAAGCTAATTTAAATGATAGCTGTGGCTTCCATATTATATATCACAGTAATTATTTTCACACCATTACAGTGTTTCATCATAATATTTGCTTTTTGTGTAGCAGTTTTCTTTCACCGTGTCAAACAACTTCACCATATAGTAGGCCTGAAATAAGTTAGAGTGAGAACTTCAAGGCTACTTAAATGTCAGTACTGGTCCTGATTATGTGATTGCGGAAGCTACAATGTTGTCAAAGAGGCCTGGAGTTGACTGAGCATCTGTGCAATGCTCACTTTGAATAATATGCACTCTAAAAGATGCATTACATGAAAGGTCATGTCTGTCGGTATTTACGATAAACTGTATGTGTTACATTTGTTTCCACTAAACTCTTGTATAAGGCAATATTTCCCATCTGCAGTGTTTATGGACTTTTTGTTTAAAACAGACACACAGTAAAAAAATATTTAAAAAAAAAGATTTCCCTGAAGAGACTCAACTGTGTTCCCTGTTTGCAAATCTAAATATTTGGTTCTGTGTGTTCAACACTTGTATTGAGCAAGCTAAGAAACTCCGCTTCTTCAAAATATAATGAAGGCGCTTGCTCTCATGCGTGATAGTTATACTGCCGTGTTTACAGCAACAGCATAAATACAGCCCACTCTTCCCAGCTGACATCTTAAATCTTAAATTCCACACACAGACAGCAGTCAGATAAGATAAGGAGAAGAGTGTGTCTCCTCCCTGTTATATAAGCCAGGCTTTGTGTGTAATAGGCAGGGACAGGATCACTAATGCCAGTCAGACAGAGATCAACATCAACAGAGCTGCTGGCATACAGCCTCCCATCAGCAGCAGCAGCAGCAGCAGCAGCAGTTGATATTCAAGCAATTCATCTGAGGTCTCTACATCCAGGCTTCACCACAGTTCTGTTATTTTCTACATGAATGAGTCTGATGTGTGTGAAATCCAGTGAGACTGGGAAATGTTTGTGAAGCAATCTTCACTAATTAATGGCAAGAAATTGGCCATAGTGTGATAAATTAAGAAGAAGCAGAGGGACATCCCTTAATTTCTCTCCTTTCTGAATACATTTTGTTTGATATATACTGTAGTTCAGCTGAAATTAGATGGATTAAACATTCAACATACACTGTTCAATGCCAGGAATATACTGTTGCAAGTCAGAAGAGAATCTTCTACATTAATACATTTACAAATTTGCCAAACAGACTATCATGATGACATGCACACCTGCCAATACTTTAATTTACATTTGATTTACAATCTCTTTGTGTAATGTACCATCAATCGCCAACAGGTGGCGCGTTAAGCACTTCAACTTCCTTGGGGATGCTTATATCTATATGCGAGTAAAGCCTATTCTGGAAAGGTCAAGCTCAGTCGGTTTTTATGTTTGTGTGCGCGTGTGATAGCACGAGCAGGTGGCCGAAGTCGAGTGCGCATATGTGCGTAATACTGTTAATGGAAAAAACGAAAATGAAGGAGGGAGTTTGGGTTTATACAACTTTGATGGAAATGTAAAAAAACCCCGGTATAAATAAACCTCAAATTTGTCAGGTAAGTGCGGTTTCATTTGAACTTGTATAGACAATTTGAGATTCACAATTGAATGCAATCTTTCATCAAGCTCTTGTTCCAGGGAGTGAAATATGATGGCAGCTTTACTTTGGTCAATTCAATATTGAATTAAGGTTCGTATAAACATGACTGTGGAGGCAGCGGATGGGAAACTATCACCATTAATCCTTCTTCACAAAGAGATAATAGTGAGACAAATTATAGTCCCACGTATGCTCTTCAGGGACCCCTGATGGATCGACTAGGGAGCAATAAATAAGCGCAGGCATCACCCTATTGCCCTATTACGCATCACCGCGTAATAGGGCATTTTCACCGCCCCTGTGGAGCTGCCAGATCATCAAAGTTCCTCAGGCAGTCCTCTGCACTCATCCGAAGCTCTGGCTGGAGAAGAGGAATCACTGCCCCCAGAGCCAAGAACACACCGGAGAGAGGCTGGATTTAAAACCCGCCCTCCAGAGGGATCTAATTTCCCCCCCAAAAAAACCTCCCATTTTCTCTCTCTCTCTCTCTCTCTCTCTCTCTCTCTCTCTCTCTCTCTCTCTCTCTCTTTCTCTCACTCATTCTTCTGTCTCTCTCTCTCTCTTTCCCTCTGTCCCCCCTCTCTGCCTTCACCTTTATCCCTCGCCTTTCGCCGTTTCCCCCTCCACAATAATGGATCTCACGGCGAGATGTTTGTGTCTTCTATCCTGTCTCGGCGTGGTATTGGCGATCGGTTTGGAGGCGATTGACCCAGGCTACTATGTGGAGTCCGGTGCCACATCAGAGACGATCGACTACAAGGATCCCTGTAAAGCTGGTGAGATTTTCCCCCTTTTTTTTTTTTTTTTTGTAGAAGCTACGCTGTGATTCACCTTTGATGTGGAAGTAGAAACATGCCACGAATCTGTTTTGCGGAGCTTGCACAGATCGGCTAGAAAAAACGCGTTTGGAGAGATGACAGTAGTGGATGTAGTTTTTAAAAGGCTTGAGAGAACATTATGTGCATTTGTTTTGTACTGAGTGACATAGTTTCTGCAGTTTGAAACATTTGAAGCACACACACTGCTGAGTCGCCTTGGATAACCCAGGTCGCAGAGCGGCTGCAAAGGGTTGAAAGAATGAAAATGAAAATGATGAGTGTCTGGATACATTTCTCGAGACTTGAAAAGTTTTGCTTTACTTGCTTGTTGAAAAGTTACAGTCTGCTGTTTGCGGCAAAATAAAAAAATTTAAAAAGTGACAATGCTCTCTCCTGCAGGCGGTGTGCTGTTATATTGTTGGGTAAACGAAATGTTTCCTCCACTTTGATTTTTAGACTTTTTCTGCTCCCTTTCTGTTTGGTTTTTTGTCACTGAACAAATAGTGCTTTTTTCCACTGTTCTCGCGGCCGGCCACTGAAACAAAGTGGAGGAGGGGAGAGAGGAAAGTACAGTGGAGCTTAGAAATGATGCACACATAATTATGTTGCCTTTATGACTCAACGTATAAATATGTCTGTATCTTTTGTGCTGTGGTGAGACGTGCAGTTTTTATTTTTTTTTTTATACAATTCTCTGGCAAAAGCATATCTGATTTATCATTGTGACTTTTGTGTGTGTGTGTGTGTCCGTATGCGTGTGTGTGTGTGTGTGTGTGTGTGTGTGTGTGTACTGTGAACTCACTGTCTTGCCAAATCCCTTTGGGGGAGTTTGAACAGATTGTGTTTTCCATCTGGTGAAAGTATTCAGGTTACAGATACAGAGGGTTGGCTTCACTCAAAATGACCTCTAAAGTCCGGGAAGTGCTTACAAATTTGACAATTTCTGATGTGGCTGTCAGTTGTAAAAACACAATGCAATCTCCCAACTCTCAGCTACCAACCTATCTGTTTTCTTCATCTTTCCCCCGAGAACAAGAAGAGTCAGTGGCGAGGGAGACTGTGATGTGGCTTTACATAAACATGTCCGGCTGCAGATGAACCATGTTCACGGCAGTCAAGAGGTTGCTTCCTTTTGCGTCACTGTTTCATTTGAGTCATTCAAGTGGTCATACCAGATTGTTTTGCATCACTAGCATGGATAAATGGACATAGTGTTCAGATGACTCCTTTAGACTGAAAGGTAAACTAACCAAGGTTCAATGATGCTGTGTTTGTGCCTCATCGGGGACATTCCCACTTCAGGATCAGCGTTTGTTGAGGATGTTATCATTATTAGTAATACAGTTTTAAGAGTCATTTGGATTGAGTACACTTTTGTTTATGGTTTCCTCTGGGCACATCTGCGGACAGGTGGAGACGGTCTCGAGTACAAACTCCCACTCTCTTAACCCTCACAGTCTCCAGCTCTTCAAACACCTATACCTGCCTTTCTCCTTCCGACAAAGCAGCAACATGTCCAACATCTCAGCTCTCTCTTTTACTCCTCACTCAGTTGATACCAGAGACAACATTTGTCACCGTAGTCAACTCAATACTAGTAGATCATAACTCTTGGATTATTGATTTACTCTCTTTTTTTCCCCTGATTTTTAAAGCACATCACTACACTGAGTCAATTTGATCGCTCTCTGTGGCCTCAGGGTCAGCATTTTTATGTCATGTTGCTGCTTCCGCCCAGGAAACTGCTTACAGCGTCTACTGCAGTAATGTTCTGTGAGGAGTGCACTTCTTTCTTGTCCTCTGTCTGGCCTTGGTTAACACTCTTCTTCGATGTCAGGATTTTTACCAAATTGTTTTCCCGTTGTCCTCTTGAAAGTGAATGCCGTCAGGACATATAAGATGTTAATTTGTGATGGCTGGTCAGTTGGCTGATTGACCAAGTGGAGGCCATGTCATTCAATTAAATTATTTATTCATATTATTTAAAATGCATTGATTAAGTTCTTCATTTCTTGTCACAGTGCGTGTGTTCCATCCTCCTCAGCTACGCCAACAGAATCCCTCAAAAATGTTGAAATTGACAAAGGATTAAATAACTCATCACTACACCAGACATAATAGAAATGTGCATGGATGGAAGCGAGCAGTGCAATACCACTGAAGTAATGCCATCTATTTAGGAAGTTAACCAGTGGAAAATTCCTTAGTTTGCAGAACTCCAAACTTGGCAGCATCCCAGGAAGTAATTTAAAACTCTAACAAGCCTCTGGGATTAGATCCACTCATTTTCAAAATGAAAAATGGATGAGAAGCAGTCACGCTCATTGTCTGCTCTGCTGGAATGATAATCATGAAAACAGTGACTGGTTTGACGTGTACGTATGCATTCAATTATGAAGAAAACATCTTAATCTACTAAAGACTGTGGCTGCGTTGCGTGTCTGTCCCATCCTGTTGTTTAAGTTTTGAAGACATGCTTTTGAGCTCCTGTGCTGCTGCTGCAGATAGGGCAACCTGAACGCCCCCGTCTTCTCTTGTCCTCTCTTATCCGGTGGTTTTCTGGTCTATCTGGGCACCAGCTCTCTCCTGTGACTGGCTCAAACACTTAACACAGACTGTAGGTCATTCACCTCGTGCCAAAGGGAAAGCACGGCTGGAGGGCAGGACAGCCGCATGCTGCCACACCAGCTCAGGTGAGGTGAGTGCAGGCCATTCACGAGCTCGGGGGGGCTTTCTGCCTCTGAATATTTTGTTTCGGTCAACGGTGACCTGTGTTTTTCCTCTCGCCACTTGATATGTGATGTGGCCATTTAAAATACGGCAGCTGGATTCTTTTTGATAACAATGTTTTAGAGCTTTTCCCTATACGTCTGTTTATTATTCACTGAAG